TAGACATATATTTTGTATTTTGAGAAAATTAAAAGGATATTTTTATTTTATTTTTGAGAACCAAATGTAAATTGCCTTAAATTTTGCTAAAATTATAAAAATATTCATTTTATTTTTAAGTGCTTTTATAAACCTTCATATCAATCTCCTAATTTTATTAAACCCTCTCAAACCGCTGCATCTTAGTGAGAGATGTGAGTTTGATTTGAAGCATGACATTCTTAATTATTGTGGTGTTCGTGATTTGGGGAATGTCACCTGTAACGCGTCTTTAAAATCAAGATTAGTAGTTAGTGTAAGGATCCGTTTGATATGAGGAAAAATGAGGGGAGGGGAGGGGAGAAAAAATTTTAATAAGTTCAATTTAAAAAATTTAAAAAGTAGCGTTAAAAACTTTTAATTAGTTTTTATTATTCTTTTATATTGCTTCTTCTCTTTATTAAAATTTCAATACTCTACTTCTTCAATTTTTTAAATAGAGTTCATTAAAAAAATTTTTTCCTCCTCCCTTCCCTTCCATTTCCCTCGTATCAAACACTACCTTAAACTAACGTTGACTATATGCATCAATATTGCACAAAGTTCGCATGGGATGAATTAATTCCCCTATATAGCTACAGATCCATTGGCTTGGGGACCCATTTTGAGAAATTGGAAAGGTTAAAACCACCATCTTACCCCCATGGCTAGATTTTGTATACAACAAAGGGGAGATGATTATTGTTTCAGGTTACTATGATGAGTAATATGGTATTGATTATTTTGTTAAGATCTAGACTGTGCAAAATTATTTTTTTATTAATGCAAATTTAAAATTTTAACTTATAATTTTGTATAAGAAAAAAAATAATTTTATTTGAGAGATAACTGTAAAATTATTTTTTATTTTAAATTCTATATCTATTAAAAAATAATTCATTAAAAGCATAGAAATAAAATTATATTAAAGTAGAATTAGAGAGTAGATTTCTTAAACCAAATAAGTTAAACATAAAATTTAAAATTTAATTTGTATGCGTGACTATGAGTGACTCTTATGATTTAATTTGTGTGCCCACTTACATACTTGTTTTGGACAACCTTTTTGTCTTTTATGTATAGAAAAACTTTGTCCTGAGTATGTTGAGAAAAACTGAAAGCGAACAATAGGGGCTTCATTATTTCTGAAGATTAATTAAGTTTATATCATATAATTTGGAAAAATACAGAAACAAAATAAGATATATATTAATTAATTATTTAAGAATGATTTTTTAATTTAAAAATATTTTAGATTCCAAAAGAAACAAATTTAGAAATACCTTGTATGACTTTACATCTATATTGAAGTGGTTGTTATATGTCTTTCTCCCATGATTTAAAATTCAGTTAATGTGTTTGAAAGTTTGCTTTCAATTTTTATACTAACTAAAACTTGACATATCCATGCATATTGAAAAATAAATAAATAAACGGGCTTAATGAACCCAAAAAAAAAAATTTACCCAACTCACATCTCAATTATTATCTTCTTTATAATTTTCTAGACTCCTACCTTAGGTTGATCGGAATAAATATGAAAGGTTTGAAATTGCCTTTTTCATAGTTCTTTTTTTTAATTTTGAGGATGCAATGCACTAATAAAATAAAGTTTGAAATCAACAGCTGAAACATCATAGTTGAACCAATATCCTTTTGGTCAAATGAAAAGACCTCGAAGCTGAAATGAAAGGAAAGAGAATATTTATTCATGATTTGATTTTTTAATAATATTATTTTTTAATTATAAAAGGTCATTTTAGTCATTTAACAATATTCATAAATCCCTAATTAGGCTTCTTGGCCTGATTAATAATTTGTTAAAAGTGAAGGCCTTAATTTAAATTTTAATATTTTAACCAGATTTAATTAGAACTCTCCCAATTCAATATAATCGTTATAAGAAACTTGACCTGAATTTTTTTCTTAAAATTAATATATCGGCATTTATGAATGTTTTGTAAATGTTTAAAATTTTAATACCAGTATTGTTTTGCTAATAAAACTAACGATGTTAGAAATAAAAGACAAAAAAGATATTTTATTAAATTAAGAGACGAAAATGGAATCTTACGTAAAATTAAAAATGAACAAAAATTCATTTTTGCCGTGGCTTAAACATCTCTTCTTAATTTTAATAAGATGGTTATTTAGATACAGAAGTTGAAGAAGTACAGTCGGAAAGAAGTGAAGTTGCTTGGAAAAGAACTGACAGACTGTAAAAGCGCACTGTCCAACTTTGATTGATGCAATTTTCGTGGAAAAGAAGGGACGCTCCTCTGTGAGTTCCATTAGTCAATGAGCAGATTTAAGTGTACTGTGGTTTCAGAGGCATTGAAGACGAAGACTTTATTTGTGTAAAGCGATAGACTATGGTTTGGGGGAAAGACTTCATTAGTCAATGAGTTCCATTAATCTTTGCATAAAGTGATAGACTATGATTTGCGGAAAAGAGCTTATTAGTCAATGAGTTCCATTAATCTTTGAATAAAGTGATATACTATGATTTGGGGGGAAGACTTCATTAGTCAATGAGTTCCATTAATTTCTGCACAAAGTGATAGACTATGATTTGGGGGAAAGACTTGGAAAAGAAGGTCGGAAGACTTGGAAACAAGGTGGGAAGACTTCTGTTAGGCAAACAAAAAAAAAAATTGAGAAAGATTAAGCTATACAAATATATATACACCATCTGCTCTTTAATATGAAAGCTAGTTTGACTTTTAATCTAATCGTAAATATAAGACCCAAATCTATTTTATCTCTTACATTTATATATTTTTTCTAAGATAATCTTTATAGTAATTGCATATGTTAAACAATTTTAAAAAAAAAAACTTGGAAAAGAATTCCAAAGATCTTGATAATTAGTATAACGCCTTTTACTTGGCCAACATCCATTTCACAGTAGTTGGAATGATGATGATGATGATAAAAGGAAAGTCCATAGCTGACCTATCACAAACATATTGACATAATAGGTATTTGGGTGGAAACCAAATCATAATTTTAAAAAATTTTTATAGAATATAAAATAAATATGTGAGAGGAATTTTGTCTTAACGTACATAAAAATACTTTTAAAAAATATTTTTATTGTAAACCAAACATCACCTTAGCTTGGTCGATGGAGTTATGGAAAAGAGTGGACAGACTTAACAAAATGACTTGATTGGTATTTATTCCACAAAAAAATTAATTTCAAGGGGACAAAACCTGAGAACTTGACAAATATTTCCTCTTCTTCTAAGTATGGAAGCTTATCGAAGGCATTATTTTAGTTCTAATAAGATTTCAACTTTGGTTTTTTCGGGTATTTTTTTAAAATTACTCTTACTGATTGGGTATGTATGTCTCTCAAATTCCAATACCCTAAATAATTAAAAGAAGGGGTATTTAAAGTAACCTTGTATTAATTTTTAAAAAAAATTTAAAATGACTTACAGATCACAAGTTTAAGTTATATTTAAAAAAAACAGAGAAAAAGAAAGAGAGAGCACAAATTTACAACCATTATAAGTTTATAACAAGTAATTACTGTTATAATAACTTAATAACAATATCTCTTTGATCAATCGACCTTCTCTCTCCTGGTTTGTTAAAGGGGACTGGGGCTCTTGATTCTTCCTGTTTTCCTTTCGTTTTTTGCTTTTTACTGTTAGAGTTTTCTCCCTTTTCTTCTCTATCAGGAAAAAAAATCTATTGCACTTTGTCTTAAAAAATTTAGTCCTTACATAAACCACTTATACTTTTTGACGAGTTCAAATATATTATTTTAAAATTAAAAAATAAAAAATAAAAAAAATTTCAAGCATGAGTCTCTCAGTATCTCTAAAATTTTTGTGGTATTGGTTTGAGTATATAAATACATTAACATTATTTACTAATTAATTTTTTTAATTTTTTTAAATTGGTCAACTAAATCTTATATTAAAGATTAGAACTAATATATGTATAGGTAATGGTAGCCATTGATTGATTCCTCACACACCAGCCATGGAAAACTAATATAGAGACTGCAATTGAGTGTGGATTTGGGCAAAAGACGTAGGAACCAAGATCGGAATACTTGGAAAAAAAAGGTTGCAAGACTTTTGGAAAAGAGGTCATTAAAAAAATAAAAAGAGTAAGCTATACAAATAATTTTGAGAAAATTGTAGATTTTTTCCATCTATTTTTTAGCATTAATGTAAATTCTTTTAAATTTTGCAAAAATTTTATAACTTTCATTCTATTTTTAAGTGCTTTTGTCAGCCTTCCTAAAAAAGAAGATTTAATTTTATGATTCTCCTTCAATTTTTCTTCTTTTAAATCATGCAAACCTCCTATCCACTTTCAGAATCAACTCATCATGAAAATGGAAAGAACTAAATCTTCACAAACATTTAGAACAAGTCCTTGTATTTTATGTTTTGTCTTGTTTAGAATTTTTTTTAATAGATTTTGAGAATAAAGAGAAATTTGTTTCAATGACTGAAGGAAAAGAATCACACAATTTATTTTTTCATTTTAAATTTAGCAAGGTGGAAGGAATATTTTCTATAAAAAATTAATGGCTAAAGAATATATTTAATTCTTTGACTATATACAGAGTTTCAGTTTAGTCCCTTGATTAACTTTAAAAAGTATATTTTTAGTCATTTAATTAATATTTTTGTCATAATCGTGATTGTTTTAAAAATTAAATGGATATCTTAGCAATTTAGAAGTTCTTATCAATATTTGAGATCCTAATATTATCATTTTTTGTTAATGATTTTGAGCTAAATAACTAAAAATATATTTTTAAATTTAAAGTACCAAGATGAAGTAAATTTAAAAGACTGAATATACTCTAACCAAAATTAATATGGTTTCAAAAAAAATTTTAAATTAAAAAAAAATCCACAGGTGCTCCTATAAATATTTCAAGGAACCGTTTTGATCGTTGCTTCATCACTTCAAGAGACGGTTTCATGATGATTCTTCATTGGACGTCACAAATGTCTCTGATTCTGTTGGTGTTGCTATGTGCAGTGAGATTCAACACGATCAGTTGCTGCCATGAGAGGGATCGAAGTTCACTGTTAAGCTTCAAACAAGGCGTCGTTGATCCCTCCAACCTCCTCTCTTCTTGGTCCACTCTCCCAGATTGCTGCCAATGGGATGGAGTTCAGTGTGACCACAACAACAGAGTCTTCGGTCTTTCTCTGTCAGCAGAATACTTAAGAGGTTATGAAAACGCGTACCACAGACACTACTATGTCGATCGAATAAGCAACAATCATTCAGAATCACTGAGAGGTGAAATCAACTTATCTTCTTTACTTGCTCTTGAATTTCTCGAACGGTTGAATTTGGGCGACAATGACTTTGAACGCATAAGCATGGCGCCTATCAATAATTCTGTTGCAACTCATACTCATTTGCCACACAATTCTTCTAAGCTTTTGCTGCTGAGTTTATCATACAATATTCATCTCCACATTGATAATCTTCATTATTGGCTCTCCCGACTTCCTTCCTTGACATCTCTCGACCTCAGTGGCGTTCATCTTCCTAGTGAAACCAATTGGGTTCAATCATTGGCCTCGCTACCTCTCAATGATTTAAATTTGTGTGATTGTAATTTGACCACCTCTATTCTGCCTTTCCAACATGCCAATTTTAGCTCACTTTCATATCTCGATCTTAGTCTGAATGATTTAACATTTGGATTACCTAATTGGTTGTTCAATCTTAGCAAAGATCATCTCCATAGTTTTTATCTCAGTCAATGCAATTTGAGAGGTCAAATTCCAGATCTTTCAGGCTATCGAAATCTGATGTCGTTAGATCTATCCAACAACAAACTCAAAGGGTCAATACCTAAGTGGCTTGGCCAGCTTCATAGACTAACCATCCTTGATCTATCTAATAACTCGTTTCACGGTTCCATTCCTTCTGATCTCCTAAACGCATCAGCTTTATTAGACTATTTAGATATTAGCTTCAACAACTTGAGTGGTCCGCTCCCAAACATTCTTGGCCAAAATAAATCTGCCAACTCAATTGGAGTGGATATATCGAACTTGTTTCCCAGAACAGCTTTGAAAATATTTATGTCATTTAATAAATTTGAAGGAAGGCTTCCTCGAGTACAAAATTGGGTCCAAGCTTTGGATTTATCTTACAACTATTTCTCGGGATCATTATATAGTTCATTGTGTCACTCTGAGACTAATCAGTCTGTTTTGGAGTATTTGGACCTGTCAAATAATTATCTCACTCAAGAACTTCCAGATTGCTGGAACAGTCGGAGATATTTGGTTTACATATACTTGGAGAATAATCAGTTGACTGGTCGAGTTCCAGCAATGATGGGTTCATCATTACCTCGCCTAAGGGCACTAGATCTACATAATAATGACTTTTCTGGTGATATACCTTCGACTTTCAATAATTGCACGTATTTGGTGCTTCTCAATTTAGAAGAAAACAACTTCTCTGGAGGTATACAAGCATGGCTGCCCCAAAATATATCAATCATAAAATTGAGATCCAATCAATTTACAGGGCACATTCCGCCACAACTATGTCATCTCTTTAATTTGATTGTATTGGACCTTGCTAATAATGAACTTTCAGGATCAATCCCTCACTGTCTACACAACGCAACCAGTTTGGCTTCCCTTAAAAATGTTTTAGACTTCCGTACAGGTCCTCGTCCTCCGTCAGATTATACCATGCCAACTGCAAAAGAATTCATGAAAATTGATTTGCATATAAAGGGTCAACAATTAGACTACGGGAAAACTCTAAAGTTGGTGAGAAGTATTGACCTATCAGCTAACAGGCTATCAGGAGAAATTCCTGTACAGTTGTTCAAGCTCACCAAGTTACAATCACTGAACTTGTCTTACAATTATTTGATAGGAGAGATACCAGAGCAGATTGGAGAGATGAAAGATCTAGAATCTTTTGATTTGTCCCACAACAATCTTCATGGGAATATTCCTCAGAGCATGGCCGGTCTATCTTTTCTCGATGTTTTGAATATGTCATACAACCATTTCAGCGGCCAAATTCCATTGGGCACTCAGCTTCAGAGTTTTGATGCATGGAGTTACGCTGGAAATCCTGAGCTTTGTGGGCCTCCTCTTCAAAAGAACTGCACAATACCAGATAATACAGAGAAAGTTGAAGAAAATGAGGATGATGGTTTTTTGAAGTCATTGTATCTTGGAATGGGCGTTGGCTTTGCTGTGGGATTCTGGGTAGTTTCTGGTTCATTGTTGCTGAACAAAGCATGGAGGCACTCTTATTTTCGATTTTTTAATGGTGTGGTTGATCGAATCTATGTTATTGTGGCCATAAAGCTTCAAAGATTCCACTGAATGGGGATAGACTGTAGCTCCAGGTTGGTTTTAAAGTTATACTTCTGTCTATTTAAATCTAAAGTTCTTTTTCATAATAACTTTTATTTCTACGCAAATTCATCAGCGGTGTTGTAATGATTTCATTTTTCTGTTTGTTGCTTCCTAAATCAAATGCATAATGCTAATTAAGACTTCGTCCATATATGAATGCATCGACTAATTTCAACTTTTTAAAAGAAATTAAGTTATTAGTCTCTTATTCTAAAGCAATTAAAATGCCCAAATCAATCTTTAAAATATTTAAGTGTCCTTATATCATGTCGCTCGTTTTTCACAGGCCGAAGTATATAATTTGTCATTTAACTTTATGCAAAACTTTAGTTTTGTTCCTTTATAAGTATATTTTTAGTACTTTAACACTAAAATCTTATATGATAATTTTTTTGTAACAATCATAGTTATTAAACTTAATATATTAGCATTTAAAATGTTATTGCAACATTCAAGATCTCAATATCATCATTTTTTTGTTAACGGTTTTAAGGTTAAAAGATTAAAAATATACTTTCTAATATTAAGGGATGAAATTAAATCTTATATAAAATTAAAGGATTAAATTTAGTCTTTTTTAAGAGTTGGTGACGTTTCAAAGCAACATTTAGATTTATGATCCAAAAGTCTAGATTTTTATTTTCTCTTTACAAGTTAATTGTCATTTTAAAAAGAAACTCACACTCAAAAGATCTTTTTCAGTTCTGATTGAGTTAGAGTGAACTCATATCATTTATGTTTGTTATTCTAAACAATAGGTGGTTGATTCCAGATTTTCAAGACTCACATGAGTCCCGGAAGATTCGGTGCTCAAGCTCTTTGATTGGTGGGATTTTGGATGAAGCTTTGGTAATGGCTGCAACTTTAATAAGTAGTAGTATTCAAAAGTTTGGGTCTGTACAAGTTTGGTGATGTTTAGTAATCTGTGTGTCTGTCATTGTACTTTTGCTTGATTTGGTTGTTTAGACAAATTCGGTATGTTGGATTTTTCTACAATGTGGTTTCACGTTTTTAGTCAATCTCCCAATTGTGCTGTTTCTTAGTAAAAACTATGCTATTCTTGTTATGATGTTCATGATTTGTAGAATGTGACCTATATAATGAGTCTTTAAAAGTAAGGGTAATTGCTAGTTCTAAATTAACCTCAATTGCGCATCAAAAATATTGTACAAAGTTGGCTTGTGATATATTCCCTGGACCCATTGGGTTGGGATCCCAACTTGACAAATTGGAAAAGCCTAGCAAGGTAAAATGACCAGATTTTAAGTTTTGAGATAAATTAGTTGTAATCTAACTTGCTTTCCCCCCTATCCTTCTTCTCCCCCTGTTTAACCTAACCTAGATATAGAAGCCAGTTAAGAATATTACTTTAATTCTAGACATAAGATGTTAATGTTTTTTATCTCACATATTTATTATATTTTTCTTCAAAATATCCCTATAACTATAGTGATTATGCTTATATATAACTAAAAGGATGAGTGTTTTAGAAAAACCAACACATTCTCTTTACAAATAATTAATTTAGCTAACTCCCTTGATTCATGAAAATTAGTTAATTTTATATTTAGCATCAAAGAGAATATATTTCATAATATTGCACAAAGTTGGCCCCCATTGAAGTCCTTGAAGAGGTCCATTTAGGATGCAATCATCCATCTTGAGAATTTTGTGTGCTTCGAACTTTGTTAGGACTATTGAACAAGAAAAGCCATTCAAGGGAAAATGATCATCTTGCCCTTGTATGCTATACCTTCATTATCCTTCCAACCAAGCTCAATATATGGCATCGCTAGATATGGCATATAATTACTAGTTTAATTTAATCTCAAATTTTCGTATGACCGCCATTATTACTGAAGCAAAGCTACTGCTTAGAAAGCACATCGTACTCTTCTTCAGCAAGAAGAAAACCTACTGCTTGCGGTAAGTCCAGCCAGGACATTCCTCTCGTACGCAAATGGTTTAGTTCTCTCAATCACCAACATGTAGATATGAATCAAAATTTTATTAGCTCGAGAAAAAAATCAAAACCAGAAAAGCATTACTTCCTTTTCCCCTGTGGAGTAAAAGCACTAGATTTATGACTAACAAAATCGAAGCATTCTTGTTACTAGAACTGGAAAATCCTAACTTGGGCTATTGGTCATCCCATTCATAGTTCCTCCTTCCTCGGTTGCTCTGCTCAGTGAAATCACGTACGTTTTCCATAGCAGACAAAGATAACAACAGCTGCTACAGCAATAGCTCCCGTAGATGCTGCAGCCACAGACCACTGCAACTTCAACCCATTCAACCCCTTTGCCTTTGCTTCATTATTCATTCCATTCACAGCTACATTGACTCCTCATCAGTTTTCTCCTTCAAAGATTTGATGACATTTTCTGCTTCGTTAACTTTCTCCTGTAGCTTCAAAATATTTGATTTCATGTTTCTTGTTGTCTCCTTTGATTCTCTCAGTGCCTCCTCCAGATTTAGCTTTTCTTCCAATACTGATCCCCTCTCGGAGACAACCCTTTGCAACTAACTCCTCAAGCCTGTGTCTAAACCCACGAATGTCCTCCTCTTTCTCCTCAATTTCCTCTCTCAACTGCTCCAACACCCTAATTTTCTTGCTCTTTTCCTCAATTTCCTTCATCTCAAGAATCCCAATTTTTCTCTCTAAGTCCTTCGCCTTTTTGTCGATTTCTAATTTTGCTTGCTTTAACCCTTTTGCTTCACCCTCTAAATTCAACACCATTGATCCTTTCTCTTCCAAAAAGCTCCTCAGTTTAGCGCACACTGTTCTAGATTCCTCAGCAGCACTCTTTACAGATATTGAATCACGGTTAAGCCTGAAAACCTCGGCCTCGAGGTCGGCCTTTCTCGCCGCCATAGCTTCCACTGCCTTCTTGGCCATCTCAGACCGTTCGAACTCTCTCTCCAAACCTTCAATCATCTCTCGCATCTTCGATTCGTCTTCTCTCAAGCCGTCAATCTCCTGCGTCAGTTTATCGATTTCGGTCTTCCTACCTGCAATTTCATTCCCCAATCCCCCTCTTTCACGTTCCAGTGCATCGATCTTTTTCGTCAATTCCTCGATGTGACCGTCGCTCCGGCGTACGTCAGATCAGAAAATTCCTCCCCGATTTGATCATCAACCTTATCATCCGCCATTGTTAGTTCTGGAAGAACAAGGAACGATAATCTGAGCGATAAACGGGCGAAGATACTAAAAATAATAAAACGACAATGCTACTTAATTAATTGGCCAAATAGTTAAAAAAATGGAAGAGATTTAACATAAAGATCGAGAGTAAGAAGAATCATACATCTCACCATCCAAACAACAACGATGAAGTATTTCTTACGAGAAACTAATAAAACCTGAGGACAGCGTCGGTGTTCAAAGTCGAAAAGGATGAGTCACTGGTAAATGCTTCAATCTCCGAGAAAATCAAGGACGGATGCTAAAGATTTTCCCAGAATTCAGCAAATTATGAAACTCCCCATTTCTTGGTCCCAAAAGTTGAGTCTCCGATGCATTGCAAGACGCTAAATTCAGAAGTCGATCTCCATGGTCATACTCGTATGACCATAACTTCGTAATCACAATTCATAAAAGATTCAAAAATCTATAAATTACATGTCTCTCGTTCATACATGATAGTAGAATCATTATATATAAAAGTTATATTATTCTGTAAATCGATCATGGAGGGTCTACACTCGTCCAAGATTTTCGGACATTTATCGCGCCCCAAGTCATTTACTCATCATAACTGTTGATTAATTATGTCTTTCTACCACTTATCCTCACAAGTTACAATTGACATTTGATGATTTCTGGGAATTCAAGACTCCAACTTTATAGAAATCATGAACATCTCTTTTTTAAAATTTATAACTGATATCCTGTAATTTGCAACTTATATTTAGCAATTCACGATTCATTTTCAGGGATTCACAACTCGTCTAGCTAAGACTGAGATCCTTGACCTTCAATGTATTCCAATTTTCATCTCCTTTTGAGGCCACTTAATCTCATTTTCTCAAGCAAGAATGACTGGAAAATACCCTAAAAATATGCAAATCTCCATTTACATCTCAAGATAGACAAATTGCTCTGAAGTTCTTAGGAGGTGTTTAGATAGAAATCAGACCATAGTTTCAGAAGTGATCTTATAATATACAAAGTAAATATATGGAAGAGTTTATCTCGATTTGTGAAAAAATACTTTTAAAAAGCACTTCTCCTAATTCCCAAACACCCCCTTAGTACTCCCTCTAGGTAACAAGGTGACTTGAATTTTATAACAAATTTAATGTTTTTAATTATTTTTAAGGAAAAGCATATTGAACCTACTTATACTTTCTCTCAATTTTTAATTTGGTATCTATTTGTTTTTTTCCCTCTTAATTAAATTATTTAATTTTTCTTTTTTAGCAACATAATTAAATTATTTAATTTTTGTTTTTTTAGCAACATAAGCTTTTATGACTTTTTTCTATTAATATTTTTAGTTTCTATGCAGAGTTTAACATTGTTAATAGAGCAAAATTAAAAATTTATCATTATCATCGTCATTTGTTATGCAAAAGGTTTATTCCCTAAGATGTTCCTGTCATCCTTGAGCAATTTTCTACTTAATCTTGTCAATGCAAAAGCATATAGAACTTGTCGTTAGCTATATTGTTCTTGTCATTGGTTATATAAAAATTGTTATTTGTTATGAAATTCAAGGATTTCAAATGAAAGGCGCATATGTGATTTTGCTCTATATAATCTCAAATAAACTCTGAAACACTTCAAAGTAGTCAGGTCATCATTTCAGGATCCTAAATTAAAATTTATATATTTTTAGATTTTTTTTTTGTTTTGGGTCTTTCTCCCTTTTATCAACTATTAAGTAGTTAATGCAATATTTGTTTTATTCAGCCCAATAAAAATAATCCGAGTCAAATAAATGGACAAATATTTAATCTTTTTCCTCACTTAAATATTTTATTTTATTACTAGCTTCCACACTTAAATATACCAAATCCTCCCTCTACACATCATTTGTTTAAAGGAAAATTTTATCAAAAGAAGTTCGGAATGATTAAATTCTAAATCAGATTTAGTAATAATATTTTAATAGGTTTTGAAAAACACTAAACTTATATAATAATATGCTTTTGTAAAAAAATTCTTATAAATATGTCAAAAGAAATAAAAAAAATTCCCATGACATTTCTTGAGGAGACATCCATGTTGGCCATTTCAAGAGTGATGGGACCTAAGCCAAAGACGAAAGTCACAGGACGTCGCTTTTTTGAAGCACCCTTGATGCACCAATACCGTAACACGCAACCACACTACTTTTGGTTAGGAAAAAATTAAAAAGTTTCCTATTTTTGAAGTTCATTTGATCTCCAAAGAAAATTAGACATAAATAAAAACAATAATAATTTTCAATTATTTTATTGACACCATGACGATGAAGTGTTGGAGAAGAGCAAATGTACAATAATGAGTCAGTCAGTCACTCAATTTCATTCCTCAAGTGCAATTACACTAATTGCCCACAATATAAGCTTAATATACCCCGGAAATCTCCAAATACTCCTACATAATTCCCAATCCCAAGTCCATAAACACCAACACCGACATTAATTTTTGTTATAAAATGACATATCGACCACAATTTTTTTTCCAAATAAAAAAAAAAAGGATTCTTGAGATCAATAACTGCTTCCCTTCAATGTCACCCCCTTCTCAATAATTTACAATCACTGATGTTGGCCGATGCCAGATTCTGACCGTTGAAACGTCGCCACCAGTGGCAGCTAGCAATTAATGGAGGTTTTTCTTTTTGTGTTTTTGGGGGGGGCCTCGACAGATAATATCGTCATCTGGCAATAAAATCTAATGTCTAAGAAGTCCCTTGGGGGAAAAAATAAAAAATTATGCCACAGAACTATTTTGAAAATTTCACATTTCAGTGATCTATCTTTCTTCCTAATAAACTAATTTTGAAGAGTCAAACATAGTTCTTAGTAAAATATATAAAACTCCAAGGAAAAAACATAGATTAAATTTTCTCGCGACACTCTTGAGGGAACTTCATAACAAATACTAAAGAAATTTACATACGATTCATCCATTTTATTAATCATAATTGAGTGGAGAGAGGGAAGGGGGGGATATGAAAGAGGATCTCGATAAGTAGGAGTCAGTTCCAATTATACAGCTTCTTACCAAAGTCTAAAGCATCTCTTGACCAGAGAAAGCAGGCTCTTCGAAGGGAATGGCTACCTCACGGCCTCGCTCACCCTTATTTTACAGAACCTACGAGAGACCCAAGTGCCTTCCCCCATAAAGGACCTTTCTCTCCAACGATTTCTCCCCCATTGGCCAAAATATCCACTTGATAACTCCTAAAACATAGCAGTCATGCCATACTGAACAGGACCAACCTTTCTATGAGCAGTAGTTGCCGTTGTGGCGGCACCAATCCGACCATATTGAGCCTTTGTCGGCATTAGATTCGTGTCCATAGCTATTCGATCATCCTGTTCGATGCCGGTCACTCCTGCCCGTGTCATAAAAAAAGGGTTTGTATCAATATTAATAGCTATATCTGGAGCTATTTTGGCACGAACTTCAGAATGCGGATGTTTGGCTTGCACAGATACACCCTTATCAGACTCTGTTGTAGCTGACCTTTCTTGATTTCCAGAGCTCGATCTGTGGTAACAATAAGCAATGTGAACAGCTTGAGAAGGAAGCATGAGACCTCTGATAAATGTACTTGGATCATAAGAGTCCTTGACCACACTCGCGTACTCGTAAGGAACAACTGGCCCAGCTACTTTTCCGGGTTTTGCTGAGAAGCAAGACAATGTCAACAATTCAGTTATTCATAAATGTAAAACATTAACTGAACACAACAATAGCAATTCCATACCTATTGGGACTCTTAGCTGCCCCTGCATTGACCTTGTAACAGAAATTTCTATGTCTCTGGCGTTCCCATTATATTCCTCGGGTGTTTGCCTATTCTTGCCGGAATTGATATCTGATTGCTCTTTTGGTGCAAAAATATTTGAATGCACAACCGTTGACCTACCAATAGATCCGAGATACCAGTAAAACATAATGACTTCCCCTGAAGTTCTGAGAAATAATGGAGACTCTTGTAAAAAGATACACATATTTTGCAGCAAATGATGTCAGGAAAAACTGAGGAATGAGGATAATGTTAACTAGTAGAAAAGGATAAAATCTTATCTTTACTAAAAGCATTAAGCAAAACCTTACAAGCTAACAAGTGGGTTGAGGCACTTTGAAACCCACAACATCACAATTTATCCATAAACCTATAATTATTTCAGACATATAACATTCATGTTCATTCATAATGAATCATACTCATTTTAAAATATCCAAAATGATCAACTTAATTATCCAGGAGATCACCAGCCAACTGTTGGGCTCAACTCACATAAATTTTTTTCTAAAAATATAATTCATAAGCTTCTATTTGTGGTATTCAAACAGATCCAATCCTCACATCCAAAGGTCATAAACCGTTTAGGATTCAACCCACAGTACAAATATTTCATACATAGATTATTTGACACGTAATACCCAAAAAAAAATTCACTAACTAAACGAGTTAATTGAAGGAAGCCGCAGCCAAAAGATTATTTGTAAACTTTCGTAAGAGTGGAAATTATAGTTGATATATGACTTTAATTTGAGGACTATCTAAAATACAATAAAGTCGTGATTGCTAATGATAGAATTATAGAAGATAAATATATCGTCCCGGCAATATTAATAGTGTTTAAAGACTGACACATTCTTCAAATATTTTAAATGGGCCTCCGGATCAAGAAATTATAGAAGATACATGATTCCCACCAAATTCCTTGCTTCTCAGAAATACAAGTTTTAGTATTTGGATTCAGACTTCAGAGTTTTCTTCCCCTGCCGACTTCAAAGGCTATATTTCGGAATTTACATTCTTTTGTTTTTTTTAATGAAAACGATCAACTATACTACTAAAAAATATATATACACATTAAAACGCACGTTGGGGGAATAGAGCTCAAACAGGGGAAGACACAGAACATACAAATATTTAGGACCAAATGGTTGTTTGAATGGACTAAAAACCCAACCAACTTCTGACCTTCAATCTCAATTAGACTCAACAGAGAAAAATCTGACTTTTTCTATTTCAAACTTTAGTTTCAAACGGTGATCATTAAAAATAAGCATTAAAAATATACCAACCCCGATTTACCCTCACATTTTTTCCTCTGTCTCATCTCCTTCATTAGTATAATGAGTTTTGATTCAGACCAAATGAATTTTAATTTATATTCATGTTTGCCTATTATATATATTTAAATAATTATCTACAATGTTTTTTCACATTTTTCTTGGTGACAAATATTTTTATTTTATAATCTCACAAATAAATATTTTTATTTTATCATAATAATTTTAGGTTTTTTTAATTATTATCACATTAAAAATATAAAATATCAAATACTACTATTCAATAAAATCCATGCCATTTTCAATCATTTTACAAATGAACTGACTTTTCTATTTAATCATCCAAACAACTTTTAACTTTTCCAACTAACTTTTCATAAACACCTATCCAAACATAAATCGCATTACACTAATTAATTTTTACTCTAATTTCAGTTACAAAAGTCAGTTAGCCTAGAAATCAATTTTGCCTACTGCTAATCTAGACACACCCAAAGTCTAAATTTTAGAATTTACATTCTTTTTCTTTTTTTATGAAAACGATCAACTATGTTGAAGTACTAAAAAGTACACACACACACTAAAACGCACGTTGGGGAATATAGCTCAAACAGGGGAAGACACAGAACAGAGAACATGTGAACAAGTAAAAAACAAACAGTGAGATAAGACTATTTATTTCAAAGATAAATATTTGTAACATTGATGACTACTTCACGGTTCATAAAAGCAAAGAAGAATTGGCAAAGAAAGAAAGAAAGAAAGAAAGAAAAGGTCGTAAAACTTGATGATTATGTATAATGACTCTGTTGGACATTTATTTCACGGAGGGGAGAAAGTTGAGAAGGACTTGACATGGATGATGATTTTTTGTAAGGCACAAGAGAGTATTTATTATCTTTTCAATTCATGTTTTTAAATAAGGATTGATTTGAAAAATTTTCATTCACAACATAGCTAATGATTCAAGGCAAAAATGCAGATTGATTTTTTAGCTTTATATAAGATTTTATTTTTGTTTCTTAATTTTATAAAATATTTTTCCCAGTTCTTGACCCTAACACAGTTAATCTTAAATAATGATCATTTTTATGTCAATCATTGTATTTTTAAGAAATCAAATTTAATATATCCGCATCTGTGAATGTTTTGTCAATTATGAAAATTTTAATGTTGGCATTTTTTGTTAATAAAACTAGTCCAGTGTCAGAGTTAAAAGATTAAAAAAAATATTTTATAAAATTAAATCATCAAAATGAAAACTTGTGTAAAGTTCAAAAAGAACAAAAACTTTTGCCATGGTTTAAATTTATTATTTATTATTATATTAACTTTGTTTACATGATGTATAATCTATATGGAATAGTGATAAAATTGAAAAATTGTTAAATTTTAAATAAAAGTTAATGAAGTTTAAGATTTTTCTTGGTCTATACGAAACATGTTAAATGTAACTTATGCATAGAACCAAAGGAGTATAATTCACTGTCATGGAATTATGGAAATTCGGTCTTTTCCCGCAACTAGGAACCAAGTATTTGTGTGACATCACAGTTTTCAAAATTGAAGAGATCAAAGTGTCACCAATATCCTTGTTGGGAACCAAAGTGTTACTTTCTCTATAGGTGACGGTAATTAATGCATTATTTATGAAACATAACTGCCATTGAAACAGCAGAAGACTTGGACTTGGTCATAAAATCTTATACTTCTCCGATCCTAATTATAAGACCCAATTGACTTATTTGAGGAGATTAAGGAAGTAAGTTAAGTTAGTTATTTATAATAAATAAGTGTTGTTATTCCTAAAATATCCTTGCTAATTAAGTATATTGGCTAAAACTATCATTATTAGAAGGATTATCTTGGAAAAAAAATGTATAAATATAAGAGAGAAAATGGATTGGGTCTTATAATTAGGACCAAATAAAAAGTCAAATTGGATCTTATAATAAGGACCGGAGGAGTATAATGTAATCTAGACATAAATAGTCAAGGAATGACTTCACTTGTAGATAGTACTATGAACTACGCTGGAGAAATAACAAGAGCCTTCACTTACCGATCAAAACCTTTTGGAAAAACTTGATTTAAGACCATGGAAACTAGTTTCAGATCACTAACTTCTCTCGTTTTGTTGATGTTGCTATTTGCAGTGGCATTCAACAGAATCATTTGCTGCCATGAAAGGGATTGAAGCTTGCTGTTAACCTTCAAACAAGGCATTGTTGATTCTTCAAGCCGCCTCTCTTCTTGGTCTACTGAAGATTGTTGTGCATGGGAAAGAGTTTCGTGTGATTACAACGACAGAGTCATATCCCTTCTTTTGCAAAGTCCAAATCAAAAGAGTCCAAAATCCTTGAGAGGTGAAATCAACTTATCTTCATTGCTTCAACTTGAATTTCTGGACTCCTTGTATTTGGACTACAATGACTTTGAACGCATAAGCACGCCACCCATCAATAGTACTGTCCCTGTTGCAAATTTTTCCAAGCTTTCTACCTTGTCTTTTTCTTACCATCTTCATCTTCAAATTGATGATCTTCATTGGCTTTCTCGACTTCCTTCCCTGACAATTCTCAACCTCTGTGGTGTTCGTCTTCTTATGGAGACTGTCATTTGACAGTCATTCAATTATTGGCTTCTCTATCTCTTGAGGAATTAGTTCTAGTTGACTGTCATTTGACCAGCTTCAGTGTTCCTTCTGTTAAGAATGATGTCAATTTCAGCTCACTTTCTGGTATTTATCTTAGTCTAATATGGACTACTTGGCTGTTCAATCTTAGTAAAGACTTGTCCTATATTTATGTCGACCATTGCAATTTAAGAGGTCCGATTCCAGATTTTTAAGGCTATCAAAACCTGCATACCATAAATCTATCTGACAAGAACTCGAAGGATCAATGCATGATTGGTTAGGTCAACACAAATACTTAAAAAATATAATTCTATCTAATGACTCACTCAGTAACAGCATTCCTTCAAGTCTTGGAAACTCACCAGCTTTATCAGCTTTGGATCTTAGCCTCAGTCACTTGAGTGATACACTTCTAAAAAGCCTTGTGAAGCCCTCTTTGGTTTTGGATTTGTCTCACAATGTTATGAGTCCCACGTTAGGAAATCTCACAAGTGTTGTGGGCTTTATAAGTTTAAGGGGCTCTCCCTCCTAACAGGCTAGTCTTTTGGGATTGGGCTCTCCCTTTGGGCTTATGCTCATCACATTGGTGCTTTCATTGAGAGTTGACCAACCGGAAAGGGCTACCTGCAGAGGGTTTTGACCGGTAAGAAGACCGAGTGAAGTGCCGTAGAGTGGAGCCGCCGGGGACGTCGGCTCTCGAGAGGGGTGCTCTGTTATGAGTCCCACATTAGGAAATCTCACAAGTGTTGTGGGGTTTATAAGTTCAAGGGGCTCTCTCTCCTAACAGGCCAGTCTTTTGGGATTGGGCTCTCCCTTTGGGCTTATGCTCATCACACACAACTCAGTGGAGATATCTCAGACTTGTTGCCAACCAATGCATTCATATTTATGTCATTTAATAAATTAGAAGGCAACCTTCCTCATATATATCAGCAAATGTCTCTGGTTTGGATTTGGCTCACAAACTTTTCAGTGGATCTTTATCGTCTCTGTTGTGTCACATTTAGGTTGAGAAATATATGTTGTGGTATTTGGATATATCAAATAATTTTTTGACTGGAGAACTTCCTGATTGTTGGGGCAATTTGCCATACCTGTCTTGCATATACTTAGAGTATAATAAGCTAAGTGGTGAAGTTTTTCCAACAGTAGGTTTATTGAATGAGGTTAAGTTACCAGGTTTACATCATGATGGCTTTCATGGAGATATGCCATTGACTTTCCAGAACTTCACATCTTTACTACTCATCAATCTGGAAGGAAACATTTTTTCTGGGAGCATACCAAAATGGATGCCGCAAAATGTATCAATAGTGAAATTGAGATCTAATCAATCTACAGGCAACATTCCTTCACAGCTATGTAGCCTCTCTATGTTGATTGTTTTGGATCTCGCACATAACAAGGTTTCAGGATCAATACCTTATTGCCTTCACAATTTAACCAGCATGGTTTTAGGATCTTTGAATGATTCGTTCATCACTCAAACGATGCCTGTCAGTCTACCATTATCAAATGGCTTTGCAATCCCATTTAAACTCAGAAGTAATTTGCATACAAAGGGTCAAGAATTAGAATACTAGACAAGCCAATTCTTTATGCGGAGTATTGACCTTTCAGCAAACAAACTATCTGGGAGAATTCCTAAGCAGTTGTTCAGGCTCAAACTGATACAATAAATCATTGAACTTGTCGTATAATGATTTGACAAGAGAAATACAAAGGAAATAGGAGAGATGAAAGACCTAGAATATCTTGATTTCTCCCATAATAGTCTTCATGGGAATATTCCTCAAAGCATGTCTAGTTGGTTTCTAGGTGTTTTGAATTTGTCATATAACAAATTTATGGGACAATTTTCACTAGGGACTCAGCTTCAAAATTTTGATGCATGGAGTTACATAGGAAATCCTAAGCTTTGTGGACCTCCTCTTCAAAAGAATTGCACAACAAAAGAAAAAGCAAACAACACAAAGCATGTTGAAGGAAATGAGGATGATGCTTTTTTGAAGTCATTTTATCTTGGTCTAGGAAGTGACTTTGCTGTGGGATTCTGGATAGTCTGTGGTTCTTTATTCCTGAAGAGAGCATATGGAGACGCACTTATTTTCGGTTCTCTAATGGCGTGGTATACCAAATCTATGTTGCTGTGGCCACAAAGCTTCAATGATCCCACTAAATGGAAATAAGTTATAGTTCAGGTGAGTGATGAAGTAATTTTTTTCTTTATTTAAATTCAAAGTTCTTGTTCCCAGTATGATATGCTAATTGTGTCTCAATGCTGAGAAAAGGTTACATTATTATAGGTTTATTGCAATTGTATCTGACATGTTTATCATTTAGCTATAATTGAGTCAGCGGTGAACTCATGCCATTCTATGAACCATATAGTCTAATCATTTTAATTCTACTATGGTAGAAAAGAATGTGAACTATTAAGCACTGTATTACAGTAAAAAAGAATTTCACTGGTTAATATAAAAGTTAATCATGATATTTTTAAAAAAAAGTACAGCCAATCAATAAAGATCGTTTTATGGTTATAAAAAATTCAAGGTATAGACATACAAGACTCGATATCACATTTTCATAGTACAAAAGTGCCTTTTCTAGAGTAGAAAAGGATTAAATCTTATCTTTACTAAAAGTATTAGGCAAAACCTTACAAGCTAACAAGTGGGTTGAGGCACTTTGACATCCACAACATCACAATTTATCCATAAACCTATAATTAGTTATTTCAAACATATAACATACCTGTTCATTCATAATCAATCATACTCATTTTAAAATATCCAAAATGATCAATCTAATTATCCAGAATATCATCAGCCAACTGTTAGGCTCAACTCACAGATAAACTTTTTCCTAAAAACATAATTCATAAGCTTCTATTTGCAGTATTTAAATAGATCCAATCCTAACATCCAGAGGTCATAAACCGTTTAGGATTCAACCCACAGTGCAAATATTTCATATATAGATTATTTGACAATAAACTTGACAATATCACTAACTGCACGTAATACCAAAAAAAAATCACTAACTAAACGAGTTAATTGAAGGAAGCCGCAGCCAAAAGATTATTTGTAAACATTCGTAAGAGTGGAAATTATAGTTGATATATGACTTTAATTTGAGGAATATCTAAAATACAATAAAGTTGTGATTGCTAATGAAAGAATTATAGAAGATAAATATATCGTCCCATCAATATTAATAGTGTTTAAAGCCTGACACATTTTTGAAACATTTTAAATGGGCCTCCGGATCAAGAAATTAAAGAAGATGCATGATTCCCACCAAATTCCTTGCTTCTCAGAAATACAAGTTTTAGTATTTGGACTCAGATTTCATACTCTTCTTCCCCCAACGATTTAGACTTCAAAGTCTATATTTCAGAATTTACATTCTTTTTCTTTTTCTTTTTTAATGAAAACGATCAACTATATTGAAGTACTAAAGAGTGTGTGTGTACATACATATATATATATATATATATATATTAAAACGCACGTTGGGGAATATAGCTCAACAGGGAAGACACAGAACAAACAGAGAACATGTGAACAAGTGAGAAACAAACTGCGAGATATGAGTATTTATTTCAAAGAAAAATATTTGTTATATTGATGACTACTCCACGTTTCGTACAAGCAAAGAAGAATTGGAAAAAAAAAATAAGGGAGATGATGGTGTATAATGACTCGTTTGGGCATTTATTATCTTTTCAATTCATGTTTTGTAATAAGGATTGATTTGGAAAATTTTTCATTTGCAACAAAGTTAATTATTCAAAGCAAAAATATGCTTTTAATCTTTTAATTTTATATAAGATGTCGTGCATTTTGATTTCTTAATTTTATAAAATTATTTGTTTAGTTCTCTGGCCCTATTACAATTAGTCTTAAATAATGATAATTTTTTGCGCAAATTATCATAATTTTAAAAAATTAAATTTAATATATCAGCATTTGTGAATATTCTGTTAGCGTCTAAAAATTTAATGTTGCCAGTTTTTGTTAACAAAACTAATAGTATTAAGGTTAAAAGACTGAAACTATATTTTATATGATGAAAAATTCTTGCCTAATAAAGTTAAAGCAACAAAAATTCACTTTGCGATGATTTAAATATCTCTTCTTACTTTGAATATATAGGATGGTTAGAAATGATTTATACATAGAAGTTGAAGCAGTAGTGAAGTTGCTTGGAAAAGGACTGAAATTTGTTGATGCAATTTCGTAGAAGCAGATAAGAAGGGGCGCTCTCCTCTGTGTGTTCCATTAATCCAGAGGAATTGAGGACGAACACTTTACAATCTTTGCATAAAATGATAGACTGTGATTTGGGGCAGAGACCTGGGAAAGAAGGACGGAAGACTTGGTAAAAAAGTGGGAAGTATTTTGTGAGGAAAAAAAAAAAACACAAGAACAAAAGACAGGAGAAAAGGACGGAAGCTTGAGAAAGAGCAAGCTATACAAATATATATATATATATAACTTAATACGCAGTCCTTATATAAAAATTGCTAGAAATATGCATAGCAAGCCTTCACTTGAAGAAAAACCTTTTCATAATGATGCTTCCTTTCACATCACAAATCGCTCTTATAGTGTTGGTGTTGCTATGTGCAGCGCAATTCAACAGAGTTACTTGTTGCCTGAAAGGGATCGAAGCTTACTACTAATCTCCAAACAAGGCATTGTTGATCCTTCCAACCGCCTCTCTTCTTGGTCTAATCTGCCAGATTGCTGTCAATGGCATGGGGTTGAGTGTGATCGTAACACCAGCAGAGTCATATATCTTAACCTAGCAAATTTGAATTGAAATGGTTCAGAATCCTTGAGAGGTGAAATCAACTTATCTTCTTTACTTGCACTTCAATTTCTACGAGTGTTGGATTTGTCCCTCAATGACTTTGAACGCATAAGCATGGCGTCTATCAAAAATCCTGTTGCAACGCATCCTAATTTGCTACCAAATTCTTCAAAGCTTTCTGCACTGAGTTTATCAAACAGTATTCATCTTCAAATTGATAATCTTTCATTATTGGCTCTCTCGACTCCCTTCCCTGACAACTCCCAATTCTGGTGACATTCGTCTTCCTAGTGAAATCGTTTGGGTCCAATCATTGGCTTTGCCACCTTTGGAGATATTAGATTTGCATGATTGTAATTTGACCAGCTCTATTCTGTCTCACCGATATGCCAATTTTAGCTCACTTTCATATCTTGATCTTGGTCTAAAGGATTTTACAAATGGATTAGCTAATTGGTTGTTCAATCTTAGCAAAGATCATCTCTCTGATCTTTTTCTCAGACAATGCAATTTGAGAGGTCGAATGCCAGATTTTTCAGGCTATCGGAATCTAATGTAGTTAGATCTATCTACCAGTAGACTCAGAGGATCAATACCTGATTGGCTTGGCCAGCTTGATATATTAGCTTACCTTGATGTATCTAATAACTTGTTGCACAACACCATTCCATCTGATCTCCTTAATGCATCAACTTTAGGATATTTAGATATTAGTTTCAATGACTTGAGTGGTGCACTCCCAAAGGTCCTTGGAGACAATAAGTCTCCCAGCTCAATTAATGGGGACATAGCGAACTTATTTCCAATAGGTTTAAATATATTTACATCATCGAATAAATTTAAAGAACGGCTTCCCCAAATATCAGATGCGGTCCTGGCTTTGTGGACCCCCTCTTCAAAAGAACTGCCCAATACCAGAAAAAACAAACAATATGGGACAGATTGAAGGAAATGAGGATGATGTGTTTTTGAAGTCACCGCATCTTGGAATGGGAGTTGGCTTCGCTGTGGGGTTTTGGTTAGTTTGTGGTTCTCCGCTCCTGAACAAAGTATAGGGGCACTCTTATTTTCGATTCTTTCATGGTGTGGTGGACAAAGTATATGTTGCTGTGGCTATAAAACTTCGAAGATTCTGCCGAATTGGAATACAAGAGTCAAGACACCACCAGGTCGGTTAGGAGGTTTTTGTTTTTTGTTTTTTTTGTTTTTTGCTTTTAACTTAAATTCAAAGTTTTCTTCTGCAATAATTTTTATTTCTTACCATATTATTCATCAGTGCTGCGATGATTTCCTTTGCCTCTTGTTGCCCAATAAATAAGATGCATGATACAAGTGAAGTCTCCGTTTAAGTAATGAAACGACCCTCTCCCAGGAATCTTTAACAAACCTATAGGATATGCACTGTTGGATTTCACCCTATATTAAAATTTATTAATTTTCTATTGTCATCTTTTTAAACTGGAAATTAAATTAAATTTATGCCTTTCATACATCTTTAAAATTGCTGTTGTTTCATCAAACAGCAGTACTCTCGGAATTATTTGGTAAAAAAAAAATCTCAGAATTATATGGCCTCAATTTTGTATTTATCCATAGTTAGTTATCATTCAATAAGGAGGAAAAAACTCATTCTTATGTAAGTTTTCTTCTTTGTTTTTCAAATGTTTTTAATTAAAATATTAAATTATGTATCTTTGTTTTTCTATTTACTGATTGAGTTGGCAGTAAACTGGGATTATTCACGTTTGGCTTTCAGGGTATGGAAAGAATTTCTAGAGTGCCATCCGTTCCAAAAGCTTCACTCCTTTGAGCTCTCCGTGTGGCGGTTTTAAAGTGTCCAAATGCTTTTGTGGTAATCTGTTTGTACGTATTTGTGATTACTGCAATGTGTCCAATTATATGAACTTCACGTGTCCATTCATTATTAAATGGTGTCGTTATATTTTAGTTACTTCACCAAATGTTGTTAGGGAAACATCATATTTAAAAGAATTTATTCTGAACTTTGTTTTTCTCATCATTATGTTCGTGATATACTAACTCCGGTATTTAATATAAGAGTTAGTTAATTAATTTGGATAAATTAGAAAAATTAGTTAAGTTATTTATAATAAATAAGTATTGTCTTTAATAAAATATCCTTACTAATCAAATGTATTGGTTGGAACTACTATTATTACAAGAATTACTTTAAAAAATAGATAAATATGAGAAATAAAGTGGATTAAATTTTTATATTTAAGATCAAAATAAAATTTAAATAAACTCTTATATTAAAAATCAGATGTGGTATGACTCTTGCTATAAATACTGTGTTTTTCTACTTCCTTTACGAATATGTTGGAGATTTTATATTGTTGTGAAATAACTGTTAGTGTAATTCATACATCCTTCTCAATATCTTCGGTCCCATTTGGAATCATGTTTAAAATTATTTATAAGTATTTTTCACATAAATCAAGACAAAATTTCTGTCACATATTTACCTTATATTTCATAAATTATTATTAAAAAGCTGCTTATAAGTTTTTTTAAATGGGTCCTTCGCCTTTATGTCATTAGGCTATCAGATCATTGATATTTTCCTAATTATGTTAAAAGCAAAGCATGCAAATAAAGTAGTCCCATGGGAAGCATTAGACTACCACTGAGTCTAGTTTGTAGTAAAATTAAAAGTAAAATACTCTCACCTCCCTTCTGTTTTACCTTAATTACATAGACCTCCCCTCTATTTTGATAACATACATTTTAGTCCAAACCATTAACACCGTTAAGGAATATTCTAAAAAAAATTTTACGCATATTTTTTAATTAAAAAATATTAGAATAAACCTTGTTTCCTCCTTTACCCCTTATTATATTAAATATATAGTATATCTTTTAATATTAATATTTATTAATAATCTATTTAATATTTTTACTAAATTTAATAAATTAAGACATAACTTTATAATTATATTAAAAATACATATATACAATTACAAAACATTTTTTACTAATATATATTTAAAAAATGACATCACAAGTAAGTTTAAATAAATAAACAAGATTTTTTGTAAAATAAAAATTTGTATTTATAAAATTAATAAAATTTATAATATGTAATCAATTCAATAGTATAACAAAAAATATTAAAATATTTATTAAAATTATTTTTTAATTTCAAATAAAGATATATGATATATCATTAAATAATAATTATTAAGTAATATTTGCATTAAGAAGGGATAATTTGGTCAAAATAATATATCAATCCTATCATTTAATGATCAACTAATTGATGGGTGAATAGGAGTTGAATCTCAAAACTAGAAAGGAGGTTTGTATAATATATATTTTGATTTTAAGGGAGGTCCATATACGTTTCCAAAATAAAAGAGTGATCTTTGTAATTTAGATTAAATAGAGGAGAGGTTGCTGTATTTTACTCTAAAATTAAACTATAAATTAGATTTTATATTAAGGACTGAATGTAGTATTATACTCTCTCCATGCATCCTAAGCGGCTGGTCCGCCATATATTGTTATATGTAATTTAATTTTGAACTCTCTTTAATCGCAACAACATTGATTGATGGAATGTACATTTTTATTTATAGTTATAGTGAAAGACGGAAAAACTCAAACACAAACACATTACGAACGCCTTAGAAATAATATATTTTCTTCAAGGCCACGAAAATGATAATAAAAGTACTTTATAGTTTCAAATTGTTAAATTATAAAATTACCAAAAGATGTTAAACTATTGAAATTAAGATTTAAAATTCGGTCAAATTAATTATAGGGGAAAACTAATTTAATCAATAATAAAATAGATAATGTCACATTTAAAAAGTAATAAAATGCATTCTTAACCATGATGTCAGCACAAATATAACGACTTTGAAAAAATTTATTAGACTTGGGTTAAGGTGCGCCCAGCGCCCCGAACTATTTTCCCAGGTGCGTCCAGTATTCTAAAATAATTTTTAGTACATCCAGTGTCTCAAACTAATTAAAATGATGTGTCTATATTCCAGGCTAACAGAAAAGTTAAGTTTGACCGTTACCTTGCTGACTCAGCTGAAGATTGACCAAAAAATCCTACATGACGGACAAACAGACGTCTGATGTGTATTATTTTGATTGAAACTCCCGAGACGAGCCCGGTGGCGGTAGGTGTCTTCTCGAGAGGTGATGGTGATGTAAACGGAGTGACCAAAGGAAAGTTTACTGTGTTCTACGAGGAGGAAAGCAAATGGGAGTCGAATGAGGAGTTAATAGAGACGGAGACTGAAGTGTGCTATAACGGTGGTTGCTGTTTCAAATCGGAGTAGTGAAAGAAATGAGATAAAATGTTAAAGACGAGAATGAGATTAAATATGTGGTACATGTACCAGGATTTAAGAGGATGGATTGGTGGTCTTTTTTTAAAAAAAAATAAAATTGGCAGAAGATAAACGTAAGAAGAGGAAATAAATTAAATTTTTAGTGAAAATAATACACATCAAATGCCTGAGTGTCTGTCATGTAAGATTTTTTCGGTCAACTTTTAGCTGAGTTAGCAAAATAACGGTCAAACTTAACATTTATATTAGCCTGGGATATGAATGCATCATTTTAATCAGCAGTAAGCTCATGTCATCCTATGAACCGTAAAGTCTAATCATTTTCATGAAGTCTTTTAATTCTGCTAAGGTAGAAAAGAATGTAACCTATTAAACACAGTATTACAGTAAAAAAAAATTTCACTAGTTAATATAAAAGTTAATCATGATAAAAAAAAAAAGTACAACTAATCAATAAAGATCGTGTTATGTTATAAAAAGTTCAAGGTATAGATGTACAAGACACAATATCACATTTTCATGGTAGAAAAGTGCCTTTTATAGAGTAGAAAAGGATTCAATTTTATCTTTACTAAAAGCATTAGGTAAAACCTTACGAGCTAACAAGTGGGTTGAGGCTTTTTTTTTTTTTTTTGGAATGATAGTTACTGGATACAACTAGAATAAAAACAAAACGAACGAGAGAAACAAGGTTGAGGCACTTTGAAACCCACAACATCACAATTTATCCCTAAACCTATAATTATTTCAAACATATAACATACCTGTTCATTCATAATCAATCATACTCATTTTAAAACATCCAAAATGATCAACCCAATTATCCAGGATATCACCAGCCAACTGTTGGGCTCAACTCAGAGATAAAATTTTTCCTAAAAACATGATTCATAAGCTTCTATTTGCGGTATTCAAATAGATCCAATCCTAACATCCAGGGGTCATAAACCGTTTAGGATTCAACCCCCAGTACAAATATTTCATATATAGATTATTTGACACGTAATAACCAAAAAAATCACTAACTAAACGAGTTAATTGAAGGAAGCCCCAGCCAAAAGTTTATTTGTAAACTTTCGTAAGATTGGAAATTATAGTTGATATGACTTTAATTTGAGGAATATCTAAAATACAATAAAGTTGTGATTGCCTATGAAAGAATTGGAGAGGATAAATATATCGTTCCGGCAATACTAATAGTGTTTAAAGCCTCTTCAAATATTTTAAATGTGCCTCTAGATCAAGAAATTAAAGAAGATACATGATTCTCACCAAATTCCTTGCTTCTCAGAAATACAAGTTTTAGTATTTGGATTCAGACTTCATAGTCTTCTTCCCCCAACGATTTGAAGTACTAAAAAGTGTGCGCGCGCGTGTGTATCTGTGTGTGTGTGTTAAAACGCACGTTGGGGAATAGAGCTCAAACAGGGGAAGACACAGAACGAACGGAGAACATGT